ATTGTGATGTAGCTTTATTCGAATTGTAATACGCATTTAATTTCATATTCCGATTAAAATGGATCGATCTTTGTAAATTTTAATGGGAGATTATTCAGTATTATCAAAATCACCCTCTACCAACTTAATTTTTACATGTTTCGTCTGTTTTCCCTTGATTCGATAAAATACTTCTTCCTAGTTACGACTTAGTTGCAGCTGCAGCCGAAACCAAATTCTAAGTTGGTACTTAGTCAGAAAAGTCGAAACTAAGGCGACTATGAATAGCTTTAGTTGTGACTTAGAATAGTTTCGACTTAGTTGAGTACTAAATATGACTATGAATATGCGGCTGAATTTCTTTAACACCTCAATGAGAACACTGGACAGTTGTTCATAAACTCGAGTTAAACATGAGTTAGTCTTTCAACGTGAACATAGCTAAATGTGAATAAGTATTATCAGTATTATCAAAATCACCCTCTACCAACTTAATTTTTACATATTTCGTCTGTTTTCCCTTGATTCGATAAAATACTTCTTCCTAGTTACGACTTAGTTGCAGCTGCATCCGAAACCAAATTCTAAGTTGGTACTTAGTCAGAAAAATCGAAACTAAGGCGACTATGAATAGCTTTAGTTGTGACTTAGAATAGTTTCGACTTAGTTGAGTACTAAATATGACTATGAATATGCGCCTGAATTTCTTTAACACCTCAATGAGAACACTGGACAGTTGTTCATAAACTCGAGTTAAACATGAGTTAGTTTTTCAAGGTGAACATAGTATTACGTTCGGACGTTTCTTTTAACTTTTCTGCCGACAAACATATTAAGGTTATTCATAAAACGTTATAAATGCATTATAAACCGTATAAACTTATAATTGTGTAAACCTTATAAGTTACCTGTCAAAATTTTTATGGAAACCCGTTTATACATTTCTGATAAATTTCTCCAGCGATTTCTCTGAATAAACTTAATAAACTGAAGCCAATGCAACTCTAGCTGTGTTTTCTTATGCAATAATCGGGATCCGCATACACATTTTGCACACAAATTCAACAACAACGATATGATCCTGATAGAAATCTGGTTCAATTTATTATCCGTTGTTTGTTTTGTTTCACTGATACTTTGGCCGAACAGTTTTGTTGCAGTGCTAAATGAATTCATGCACAAACAGACATTCTGCCATTGTTTCTTTTAACTGGCTTCAAATAAAGCGCCTTTGTGTTAAGTATTTATGTATTTAAATTAATATTATCTCGTCTAAATATAATTTTTACTAATTTAGTGAGGTCATTTCTAAAATTTCTTAATCCTCTGCTAGTAGGATAAAATTACTGATACTGCGATCGATAACCAAAGAAAACACAAGTGTAAACGAAAGGAGAATATGGTGCGTTCATGTAACAGAGAGCATAAATTTATGATTTATAGGACAAAGTTATCGGTTTAGATGAAAATACGGTTGCCAGACGGACTGATTTTATCAGTACAGTACTGATTTTTCAACTTTCGTACTGATTTTATTCATTCCTTCAATCAGTACGCTAATGTCCTGATTTTATTAAATTTGTACTGATTTTTCAATTCTAAGCAATCAAATTTGTAATAGGGTTCTTCCCACCGAGCTTGGTAAGCGGTAACTCAGTGATCGGTAATTTTTGCCCATGTATTTTGTTTGTGTTATATTATTTTACACAAACAAAATACTTTAAGATTTGCTTAAGATTTTTACATAACGTTGCAATTTTCTTAAAATTTACTGTAAAAAGTAAGAAGAAAATAATTTAATTATAGTTGACTTGTTTTCGGTAATGTTTGATATGCGCAAGAAATTAATATAAAAGAGCAATCGTTTTATGGGCATATTACGGGTCATTATCTACCAGAGGGCTGACGATTTTTGTCGAGTGTTGTTAGTTATCTCGAAAATAACTTTCAGTTTAATAACAACAAATTTGAATAATTGAATGGCTTTGCCTACAACTTACAATTCGTTTTTCTCAATCTACCGACTCAATTTAGATACTCTTTTTGGCGAATTCTTAGTCTTCAAAGTTTTTGCGCAGTTGAAAAAATAATCTAAGCCATGAGAAAATACGGATGCAGTCCTTAAATAAAAACTTACTTACTTACTTTCACACAGTTTGAATAAATATGTAATTTTGTTTTTTCGATACCACGTTCAAATGAAGCATCTGAGAGGAACTAACTTAAATATAAAGTTTGCTTCCTGGCGAAAAGAGAGAAACCGACTTCTAATTAAAACTTTAGAAAGTGAACTTCAAATTAAAAGTAATATTAAAATATGTATAACGTTTAGAGTTCTTTGACTATTTAAGCACTGAAAGTGGAAATGATCTCATTATTACTTCTAAAAAATGTCATGTACATAAAATAATTTATTGGCTCCTGTAATATTATAAAGGTATCTCGTACTACATGTTAATGTATGAACAACATTTTATTTATAAACGGGTAAGGCTTCCTCAAATGGGCCCAGAATTTACCAAGATTAATATTTTTCAATGATATTCAGGCAGCGCCGAGTTTTGTAGTCGAAAAGTACACTGTGTAAATTTCGTAGCAAAATTCCAAACAGTTTTTTTTTAATCAACAAATTGAAAATTTTTGCAATGTTTTGGAAATTTTTATTTTCCTTTGAAAGTGGCCGAATGAAAAAATTTTTTTGGGTGCAGATTTAAAAAGCATTAAACTATACAATGAAATTATTTGCGTTACATAAAATTTTTTTTTGCTTTTCTTGGTAATAATAGTATAATCTTGGCAAATTCGGGGCCCTCTTGAGGAAGCCTTACCCATACCAAAATATTATTAAAAACAAGTACTCTGGCGTTTCAAAGTATTATCTGCTACTTACATTCATAATTCTGCTTGGAATAAAAGTGTACTGAAAAGTACTGATTTTTATAGCATGAAAAAGTCTAATGTACTGATTTCGCGCCAAAAAAATCTGGGAACCCTAGATGAAAACCACTATTAAGTTAAATATTTTGTGCGGTATAATGCAAGGTTTATACCAGTACTTATGAGAACAAAATAATGGAGATTTGAATTTGAGTTAATGTCGGTGTATTTGCCTTCGAAATTTATGGTCGGAAATAAAGAAGTTTACAAAATGTGATGTAAAAGCAAACTTTAAAACAATTGTATACGTGCGTTCGGGACGTTACGTTACTCTTTTTTCCGTTGAAAAAAAATTGATTTTTAAAAGCGATATTGTTGTATTTTATAAAAAGATATAGTGCTTAAAACCAATGTTATTTAGAGCTTTGTTTCAAGAAGTAAGAGTTGCAAATCAGGGCCCTTACTCTGTAGTTCGAATCGAAAAGAATTTCTATTCGAACGCCTAACCCTATTATAGTACCAATCGTTCGAATTCGAACAAATTTACTATCGATTCGAACTACAGGGTAAGGGCCCAGATTTTTCAAATAAATGTCCAAAAATGAGAGAATTCGAATTGCATGCATTTTTTGCGATTTTGGTTGACTATTTCTCGGATTTGCCCATATATAAACTCCCTTACTCTACAATCTGTTTTTGGCTTATTCGTACCATAAGTAGTAAAAAGCGAACTCACTTTCCTTGACATCAATTCTCGAGTTCATTAGGAAATCCAGAAGTTGATTAAGTTGTCAATGAATTATTCCTTAATCCTAGTCTTATATTCTGTTCCCCGAATTAAGCTCTTTAAAGTCCTGGCTCCGGCATTTTTCCTTGGACGCCCATTTTTTTTCTTATACCGTGATACTATGCCCCTTACCCAATACATATTAACACTGTGCTGAGTATGTAAGGATATGCGATATCTTTACACACGTTTCTCTTTAATAACATTGTTGCTTTAAGTGCGATTTTAGATCTAGAAATAAGAAAGAGACAAGATTTGAAATTAATAAGAGTAAACACGGTTTTTCGCTCTTTCTCAATATTTACATTTGTAGACGCCTGCATTAGCGATAGGCATCTTTCCGACAACTTATTCTTACTACAACACAATTATGGATGCCAATCCTCCCTTGGCACAGACATCCAAGCGCACAATCATAAATACCATCACTGGCCCTGACGATTACATTAACTTTTTGCAACCATCCGAAGAAGCCACTCCCGCTCACGAGACTAACACATATTACAGCAAACTGACATTTACAAACACACTACACAGTGCCGGCGTCGAAAAACTGATTACCACCACCCATATGCTCACGCAGGTGATCGTAACAGAGTCACTACCGCCGCGCAGTACCACATTGCTGGCAACAAAAGTTGGCCATTTCAACGCTTATGGCGAACTAAATGTCACCAACACAATGCCTATAAAAAATAACATAGCAGGAACGTCACAAATATTAATAGCGAGTCCATTGCACAGCGAATACGACATCCACATTTATACAACAAAAACTTTCGTAACCACATTCACGTACTTCAAAACATCGCTATTAAGTGCAAGCACCGCCGCAGAAACCAGCTTGAAGGATTTAGTACCAACAACTAGAAACACGCGCATCGTTGAGAATGTCATCACTGAAGCGGTGCCTAATTCGTTGATAAACAGCGAATTGGTCTCGAAATTTCGCGCTGAACTAAAAAATGGCAAGCATGAACGGCGCGTCATTATTACGACAGCGTCGTTATTGAGCGGACAAACGCTGGAAATCACGGCTATGCGAGTATTAAAGCCACCGATGAAGACCGCTTCGCTGCAAAATCAAACAAACGGAGAGCCAACAAAGGCAGCAGGAGGCCTAAAAATCAGTCCGACAACTGTTTTTATTAACCTGAACCAAAAATTTACAAGATTCACCAAAGCAAACCATAGTATTGTGAGCACAATTCCGACAAAAATAATGACAGGGTCAGCTACAACGGAACCCACTGCACAAAAGCACAAAGATCCAGTAACCACTAAATATCCGTTTGAAACACCGGTCAGTACTCGGCCACCAGAAAGCATTTTAGCTGACGAAACGTCATTTGATGAATCAGATGCCAATAATGTGGAAGAAGTAAATGGCGGCGGGGACACGTTGACAGCAGACTCCGAATATGACGCGGTCTATGTGAGTAAATCTCCGACGCTGGAGAAACCCTCAAATCCGCAAAAGCAGCAGCATATTGAGAACAATAATCCAACGCACAACAAAAATCGTCTACCGGTGGCGGTCAACCAGATTATTGGATCGCTAAACTTCCATCGTTTGACGGCTTTGAGGCCAGTCTTCAACGCAATGGCCGGGCTGCTGCAAAGCAATTTCCAAACCACACTAAATCAAAAGAATGTAAGTAGTATGCATCAAACACAGCAGCATCTGCACCAGATGTCGAATTCGCCCATACAGCTCTCGGTTCCGGCGGCTGCGCCAGCATTAGGAGCGGCTGTCCTTCCAAATGGCGTGGGTGCTGTTAAATTTGACAACATCACAGATACAGAGAGTAGACACCACATCGAGAGCAGTACAGCCAAAAAGCAGGAGCCCATTTATATACCGGTGAAAGATGCTGGATTTGCTGTAGACAGTCGCAGGCAACAGTCGGTTACAGCAGCTGCTGAATATGCTACCGATCTACTGGACACAAGCAGTGCTCAAAGTTTACACATAAAGCCTCCGAAGGCAGACATCACTATCTCTGACGATGAAGAAAGTAAGTTGCTGCTGCGCACAGCCAACGATATTTACCCACAACAGCTGGCCCAGCTAGCCAATCGACAAAGACAAGGCGATAAGAATGGTTTCGAGACGTCTTTGATAAATGGCGGCATACCGATACGTCCGGGCGAGGTAATCACTGCCAACTCCGACGTTATCATAGGCAAGCCAAATGGCATACAATACCCGCTTATGCCGGTGCCCAAAAGGAATTCCATCGAAAACAAGTTGCAGCAACAGCCACAAGCATACGGAGACAACTTTACACCGATCGGCAGTCAAATGGGCACAATACAGTTGTTAGAAGGGCAGAAAACTCACTACGCATCAGCCGTTGACTATCAGCAGCAACAAATGTTACCACAAACAGCCGCGAATCCCCACAGCCACATTGCGATCCACCGCCAGCAGCACCAGGAAAATGAAAACCACTCTCCACAAATCAAGCACGGGCCAAACGAAAACTATGACAACATTTTGCGGCCACCTCCCGTAGTCTCACTTAAGTTGGCCACCAAAACAATGGTACCACTCTCACCACCGCCCATGCTACCGCCACCAACCTCGACAAACTCATACATCGCCTATGCGGAGTCATTCGGCTTACTTTCGCCGCCTGCATTGCCCACATCGCCAACTCTGCCATCCAACAACCCATATGCATCTTCAAATCCTGCGTCGTATGTAGCCCCAAGTCAGGTACATACTTTCACGAATGAACGTAATGAAAATTTGGCCAATATTCCCAAGGCCCACGCAGGTTATTATGCGGAAAACTATAGCAAAACCAGACCTTTTGGAGAGAAATTAATCGCAGGCAATAAAGCACCTAACCTGTACGACATTACGGTTTACACGCCAGCGCAGTCAATCGATTACTACCAAAAGCACACGAGGACGCCGCAACTGTCGAATATCGGTAGTGCGTTGGCTGGTGGATCAAATACTGCACAGCATCAGCAGGATGACATGTCGAAGGCAGAGTTTTCATCCTACTCATACTCAGCGTTGAATGCCACCTACGACACAATACGTTCTGGTGGTGGTGCTGTAGAGTCAGCGCTGGGTGATCATGTGCCCATAGGCTCGCCTTCCAACCACCAAAAGATCAATCTGCATACGCATGTGTTTAGCCACAATGTAAATATGCATGCGCCACCGTTGACATTCAAAAAGGAATCCGAATACCCGACACACGCCTCGGCCGTGCATGGGCAAATACCAAGCAATGCAGTCGGCCCAGGCCCACGCTTACCCTTCACTATTGCGAACATGCCACATATAAAAATTCAACCCAATGAAAAGCAGGTGCAGGTGAATTTAACGCCCGAAAATGTTATCGGGCAAATAAATAAACCCGATGCGCACTCAAAAGGTGCGGTAAGTATTTACGTGGAATCCCCATCAACTACCTACGGCAGTGAAACAACTTCGAACAGTGCAGTGGTTGGCTCGTTCTCGCTCGACAACAGCCTGCCAGACTACTTGGAGACTCCCCAGAGGCCAGTTAAGTTAGTGCCGAAGACGCAAAAGTATAACAACTACCCACAGCTTTACGTAATGATGAATGGTAATAGAGCCGACTTCAGAGATGACATTGAAGATGTAAATTCCTTCCATCAAATGCTCATACCGGCGTCATCGGCCACAGTGCAAAATATATTGGCGAACGGCAATCCAGTAACGCCAGCGCAGTTGACACTCTCGAGCGCGGTCATACGACAAGTCCAAGATTCCGCAGCTAATGGCCACACCGCAGGCAATGTAAATGCAGTTGCGAGCGATATTAATACAGGAGCAATCTATTATGAACATGATGATACCATCAACGAAGTTGAAAGCTCTTCGAATGTTAACGACTATAAGGACGCGGTGGCTGATGATGACTATAATGGCGGCAGTAAGCCCCATATAGAAGACAAAGCGGAAGCCACAAGTCATGCGAGCGTACCTGATGTGCGCGCCGATCAAAGAACAGCGTCTGCAACAAACAGTTTGCACAAGCAAATCAAAACAAAACAGCAGCAGCTCATACACTCAATACGCTCGGAAGATACCATAGCACACAAAAACAAGCAGGTATCCCACAGCACTCCACCGCACAAATTGCTTGTGCAACAATGGCAGCGAAAAAGTAGTCAACATCACATTCTGCATCCGTTTTTGTCGCCTAATTCAGCGCTGGAAGTCAATGACTTACATGGAACATACGACCAGTCCCCTACCGCTATGACGCCGATAGCCAATGAGAAACAAAACCAAGTACCCACATCTGCGAGTAACGCTCAAACAGTTACGGAACAGCGACGACCAACTACATACTACGTATCTAGTGGTACTAAGTTAGACACCTACATTAATTCCGCACCGACATCACCGACGACGAAGAACGTTAACAACAAAGTAAAGAGTCTCCTTCATTCACATCTCTTGTTGCGTGGCGTGCCATTCACTGCCGAAACCACACCAGCCTTGCAGATACATTCAAGTCAACAACCTCCAACCCAAACAGTTTTTGTAGCTAAAGGCGAGGGATTCAGGCTCCCCGAAATCGGTGGGGATGAAATATTTGTTTCTTTAGACGCCAACTCAGCTTCAACACGCGCACCATATATCGTTGGAGAGTACAAACACGTGCATACAACCGCAAATGCGCCGTCAAAGGTAAAAGCTAATAGCTATACCAGTACAGCAGTAATACCGATGACAACCCCCGAGCCAATCAAAACTGGCAGTAGCAGCAAGTCCGCGCAAAAATCACCGCCACCCAGTAGCTTGCAAGCAGCTGAACAGAGCATATACTTCTTCGGCAATAGTGTTACGCAGCCGCAAGCCACTCCTCGACCCCTCAAGGTGGAAGACTTTCATACTATAACAGCCTATAGTACATCGACGACAGCCATGCCGTCGTCACCACAGGCCGTCTCGCATGGACACCATGAAAGTACGCCTTCCGATATGTCGTATGCTGAACAAGGTAATAGAGACCGCAAACACTCGAATCGTGTGAACGAGTCTTTGTGGCGAGAGCCGGCGGAAGCAGATAAAAAGCAGCGGATTTCAAACAGCAATATATCAAAATATGGGTACCAACAGTCGCCTGCGAATAGGGTTGTTGGTTTAAATCCACCGCCATCACCGCCGGCAGCACCAGGACAACAGCCACTATTGATACTGCTCGCACCTGTTAAACTTAAGTCAAGTGGCAGCAGCAGTATGAGCACACATGTATATAATAACACGATCAACTCTAAAACGATGTGGCAACCGCCGTTGCAACCGCCGTTGCAACCGCCGCCCTCCCAACCGCCAGCACCTACAGAACACGACGTCACTTACATACCACGCATACCAGAAGGCAGGCCAGTAAAGCAGCCGAAGCCCATACCCACAACCAAAGCCGATACTGCACGCAACACGACAATGCACCAGGGCGGCAGTACGAAGTCCAAATCAACGTCAGCCCTGGAAACGATCATGGCAGGAAACGGTAACTATTTCGATGACAAGACAGCTATAATTAAGCCAACGAGAAGTAATTTCCTACAGGAAACAACCTCACCAGGCGCCGCGCCTAGCGATAGTTTAATAGAAAGCGTGAATACCCTGCGAACGGTTGAAGAGTTTACTCACAATAAAGCTGTCGCGAAGCCGACAAAGTCAAAAACTATGGCTCAACAATCAGGGCATCAACAACGACACAGGGAGAAAATACAAGCAGAGAAAACTTCAGCATCAACAACATTGCTAAACGAGGACCAACTAAAACTCTATCGGACACCACTTTTGGAGTCATCGGAGTCCACAGCGGTGGTAGCAGTCAACACAATGAGCTCAAGCTCGAATCCGCAGACAAAACTCTTGCACAACAAAGGCAGTAGTAAGATTATCGAAATTGCGAATCAAGCGGCCCCTGGGAGTTTCAACAACTTGCCTAACCAACGGATAAAGCAGCGTCTGCAAGAGCAACGGCAACAATTCACCAATAAAGCCGAAAGTTTTCCACAGAATACGTCACTAAAAAGGATAATATTGTTGCCTACGAAATACATTACGAGAACACAGCTACTAACCGTCACAACCACACGCAGCACAGTCGTACTCACAACGGCTAATGAACAGCTGCAAAGTAAATATTTTATGGTAACGAGAACACAGACAGAAACGGTGATCAACACGATAACACACACTGAGTGGGCCACTGAAACGGAGACAGAAACGGCAATCGAAGTGGCGACCAAAACGAAAACGAAGACACAAATACGTACACTAATACAGCCAACACGCATCACTGAGGCACATATCATACTGGCAACGACAACAACGACAAAGATAGAAACAGAAACAATAGCGCCGGAAAAAAATTTAGTAGACAAGTTCGCCACCACTACAGCAACTGCGGTTTCGGTGGAAAGTACAGACAGCCATACCCAAATAATTTACTCAAACCTCTACCAGAACCATAAGCCAAGCAACGATTTCAGAAAGCCACAACTCCAGCATGAGCACGAAAACTTCGCTGATGAAATCAATAGCAATAGAAATAACCACAGAGACTATGAGCGCGTGCAAATTTCGGAACAAGCAGCAGCAGTAGAAGAGTCTGCAGCCGATACGACAACGCGACCACCACCTACCATTCCAAGTGAGGCTATTCCAAACGACACTTCAGCGCTTGGTAAGATGGATGAGATAACACCAAATAACAGTATTTTCATTGTTATGACAAACTCACAAAACGGTGGTGGCAAGCGTAAACCTCTAACTGACATTGTTTCTGATGGCACACTTAGCGGCGTGAGTGATATTTCAAGCGGTAGTGGCATCGACACGAATGCGGCTACCATTGACATGGATTATGACGACAATTTATCGGTCTTCAGTTTGCCAACGCGCGATGAGGAGTCTGTTGCTATTCACCATGACTTACACAAAATTCCCAGCCAAGTGCTGCTCGGCGGCGTGCTCATAGCGTCGCCGCCAAAACTATTGAGCGGATATGACAGCACTGTTATATCTGAGGTTGCTTATGAAGCGACCGTCACAGCTTGCCAACTCACATGCAAATTGTCGCGAAATGAGGTATGCGCACTGACAGATCTGCGCTGGCGATGTGTATGCCGGCCTGGCTTTGCACGCATGTTTCCTGACCGCCCTTGTAAACGTAAGTAAAACATTCCACATAGTAAAACATTTTACACAGAAACTTTGCATTTTTTTTTTCAAATTATAAAGCGACCTACACATATGCCATGCGTATCCAGACAGAGCGAATTGGCAACTATATGCTATTGTACAATAGCGCTTTGGGCGACAACTCGACAGATGAGTACATGCAACTAGCAACGATCACGAAAGAGGCGGTCGACCGTATGGTAATGCAATCGGACTTTCGCGATATCTATCATGGAGTAAAGCTTACAACCTTCACCCCAGTGGAAGCATCGATCGCGGCTAACGACGACGATGATTGGAAACAGCCTCCAAAGCGTGTATCAGCTAATTTCTTGCTACAGGTATGTATTTCCTCTCCCGGCTTACAGCTTGCAAAAAAATGTCAACAAAATACAATCTTGCCGCAAATATAAATTACATTCAAAAAATGCCCGAAAACATATTGCTATTTAAGCAAAATGTCATTTGCAGTTGAAGCGCAAGGTCATTTACTATTGCGGCAAAATATATCCTTTTCGGCCAACAATGCTGGCTCTTGTTGACGTTATAGTCTGCCACTTTATCCCCCATGGAAAGAATAAGTATATCAACTGTCGCAATGGCCGACAAAACTCTGGCATGTCATTCAAGGGATCCGAGTTTGGAATCCTCGGGCGGCTGAGTGTTTTTATATTTATTAACGCGTTATATTTAGGTTTTTAATTTATTGTTTTAATTATGTTTTTTATTGTAATTTTTAAATTGCATTTCTCATTTAATTTTTTTCATAAATTCTATTATATTTGAATCGCATTTAGGTTTATTCATTATTAGGTCCTTATTCCTTATGAAATTAAATTTGCATATTGTAATTTATATTTAGAATGAAATAATTGACTTACTTTAGTTTAACCAACTCCAAGCGAACTCGAACTTAAAGGGTGAACACACCAAAACTGCGACACTTAGAAATTACTACCAGAAACAAACTAGAAGGCTTTGAAATTATTTTTTTTGTATTATATAACTTGGAAGTTTAGATGCTATTAAAATGTTAAAATATTAGTTATTATTTTCTCCATATGCAACTGATCGGTATTTTCATCGCACACGCGCCATCATGTTTTGCACGACTGCATCATCGACTTTACGCGATGCGCACAACAACTTTGTTTTGCACTCTTCAATATTTTTCACTGTTTCACCTGTTTTCTTCAAGATTCCTTTGACAATTGACCAATATTCCCCAATAGGACATGGCTCTGGGCGATTGGGTGGATTGCAGTCGTGGGGTACAAAATTGATGTTATTTGCATTATACCACGGCAATCTGTCCTTGGCATAGTGGCAGGTTGCCATGCCCGCCTAGAACAGTGGCCTACTCCTTATCTGTTGATAAATGACAGAAGACGCCTTTTGAGGCACTCATCCCGAGAAACTTGATCATTCATTGTCCCGGATGGAAAAAAAGTGCTGCTCTTACGGCCACAGGAACAAATAGCTTGCCAAACCATGTGGTTTTTTGGAAATTTGGACTTCATTTTCAGCTTACAACTTTCAGGGCCATCTTGACGACTTGCAGCAGTATAAAAATCTTGACCTGCAATATATTTTGAACTTTTATAGCAGTAGGTTTCGTAGTCCATAACAATGCACACAGAGAAATTTACGTTTTCAAATTTGTATGGAACGTTTTACAGTGTTATCTGGCTGGACTGAACACCCGATGCTACGAACACCTCGAAAGAGTGAACATTAAAATTGTTCCATTGAGTATTCTATAGAGTGAACAATTTTGAGTCTTTGTAGAGTGAACTATATTTAAAACCAATTCCTTCCAAATTCAAAACTGTAACGACAGATTTACTAACAAAAAGGTTAATCCCTTCCCCAGACCGTTCCCGTAAATCCTCGTATCAGGGATCTCAAGGTGAACGTACATAAGCGGAAGAAGTGGGAAGACCATCTGAGGACCTGTAACTTCTCCTCTGGTGTAAGCAAGCTTTGGTCAACCGTGAGGTGATTGCCCACCGGGGAAACCGTCCAACAAAGGAGAGTCTTCTCGCCCGATAGCTCACCTTTCCCAGGTAGCGAAGACACTAGAGGCCCTTCTACTCCCGCACTACACAAATCTCTGGACCCCAGCGAAGCATAAGTATGGGTTCCGTAAAGTGCACAGCACAACAACAGCACTAAACTGCCAAATAATTCGGGACCTTAACCGAAACTCTCCAATCCTCGAAATCGAGCAAACCTAGGGGAATAAAACAGCGAGTTCAACAGGGTGGTGTCCTTACCCCACTACTGTTCAACTTTCACATTTCTAAGCTCCCTCAACCACCAGAGGTAGACTCGATGGTCTCTTATGCTGACGATTCTCTTTCTCGCTTCGTCACTGCACGGAGTCTAACCCTCTCCCCTACAAAATCCTCAGCAACGCTTTTCGCCACTTCAGTGAAGAAGGTCAGACTGCAACTGGGTATTCTCGTCGATGACGAACCAATTCCGACTTTGAATAACCCGAATATACCTTCGAAAGTCTGCTCTCCTTCTCGGCGCATAAAACCGCAAGAAAGTACAAAGCCGCAACAAGGTACTCAAGTCGCTAGCCGTCAGTACCTGGGGCAAAAACAAAGAAACGTTGCTGGTAACGTACAAGGCAATTGGCCGCCCGGTTCGGAACTATGCAACGTCTATGTGGTTATCGGGGACTAGTAGCACGCAATGGATGAAACTGCAGACTTGCCAAAACACGGCACTCAGACAGCGACAGCATGCCTTCTGATGTTGCCGAAACATCGCAATGCTCTGCAAGCAGTTCCTAGTAGGGTGTCACCGTGTTAGGCACCCGAACAGACATCTGCTTGCGGAATAACTCTCGCGACGGCACGTCAGAAGGCATCTGTATGAACTGACGGACGAAGTCCGGGGGTTCATAAACTACCTCTGGACCCAACAGCCTACCGACAGTTATATAGACTCTCGACCTGTGTATGCCGTTCTGGGTACGCAACCACCAGACGTGGACGAGACAGAGCTTCGTCTGCCTCGGGAGACTCGGACCCCATAGCCCAACTTCGATCTGGTTACTGCAGCAGGTTGAACTCATACTTGAGCAGAATAAATGCAGATGTGCCAAATGAATTCCCCGCACTCGGAGAGAAGCCCCATGACTCGCAGCATCTCTTCGCATGCCCACTGAACCCCACCCCGCTAACGCCTCTGGCCTTATGGACAGACCCCATTGAGGCTGCACGCTTCCTGGGTCTACCGCTAATAGAGCTTGACGACAACGATACAACAACAACAGGAAACATGTGTTGGCATTAGCTGAGGGAAAAGACGACATTTCAGAGTTCTTAAAAGTTTAACTTCAAACGACGTACTGCGCAATAAAATTGATTTTAAAGAACAAAAACTCAATCTGGATATAGTGAACAATCTGCTTTTTATGAACTGGTCTTGCATTAATTAGTTCACTCGACCCAGATAGCACTGTATTTTTAAAAACGTTTTGACCCAGGTTTTGCACCTACAATATTTATTTTGGTTTTGAGAAAAAGACATCCTCAATTCATATTCTAAAATGTATATTTTAGTTTTTAAAATGAACATTTTCAAATCGCTTTTTAAAACGGTCGTTTGACAATTGGAAACTCTCATATTCAGATGAGATTCTAAAATTTTTATTTTATATTCCAAAATATGCGTATTCAAATATGATTTTGAATTTCTTTTGTCATACATTTATTGATATATGTACATACATATGTAGACATACTTACATATGTAGTAATTAGTTACAATGCTTAATAACTGAAAGATATGTACATATTCTGGCTTTTCTCCCACGGGCCTTGATAATTTTGATTAAAGCTGGTTAGATCCTGTAATATACATAGAAAAATTTACAATTATTAAATAACGGATTCGAATTTGTTTTTGTAAGCAAGTCTTACCAAAGCTTTTCTCTAATCAAAAAAGGGTACCGTATCAGCAACGTTCCTTTCATTAAGTGGCGTAACGATATCATATTTCCGCATTTTTTGCTATGTATATATGAATGTAGCTTGAATCATCTGCACAAAATTTGTCCGACAAATAATGCAAACAGATGAAAAGTATTTCAGTTTTATAAGTAGCTTTGAAAATTGTAATACTAAACGTTTTCGTTTTAAACCATTCTCATGTTTAATTGACTGAAACGAAATTTTCATTTTTATTTTAAAAGTGTTTCGTTTTACTTTTCTGGTTGGAAATTTTGTCGCACTTCAATTTGTAGGAACAATATTCCAAAACGTTTCGTTTTAGTTTTAAAAAGGCACATTTTTGGCGTAATTTTTATACCCGAGCGCACTTGTGCACAAGGGTATTATAACTTTGTTCACATAACGGTTGTTTGTAACAGGCAAAACGAATCGAGATAGATATAGACAAATGTATACATAAATGATCAGAATGAAAAGAGAAATCGATTAAGCGGTGACTGTCTGTCCGTCCGTCCGTCCGTCCGTCCGTCCGTCCGTCCGTCCGTCCGTCTGTCCGTCTGTGCACACGATAACTCGAGTAAAAATTGAGATATCTTAACGAAACTTGGTACGTGAACTTCTTTTGGGCGTGGGACGGATGGTATTGAAAATGGGCGACATCGGATAATAACCACGCCTACCTCCCATATAACGGTAATTTTAAGAAATACGAAAACTGCGATATTTTAGTAACTACTGAAGATAATTCACTCAAAATTGATACTTAGAATGAGTTTCAGACGGAAAACATGAATATTATAAATTTTTGGAAAATGGGCGTAGCCACGCCCACTTATGGTTACATGTGTATATCTTGG